CCCCAAAACCCCAAAACCCCAAAACCCCAAAACCCCTTGGAAGTCCACTTAGGTTGAAAGTTTATTTCATTGTAAACATTTTGGGTTTGATGCTCAGAATTGATTCTCGGTATTCATATTCGTTCTCTTTGGGACCTTCATTAAATAAAAAAGCTTACCATTTGATGGCTGAATTAGATGCTTCCACACTATATCGCTCAAAAGACTAAATCCTACCTGAGTGTCTGCCTAGCTCAAGATCCTTGTTTCTAGGAGATTTTAGACCTTAGAACTTACCCTGTAGGTGCACTAGAGAGACTCTTTCGAGAAGAAGACTTCTTGGACTTTCTTCTGGATGATTTTCGAGGGTTACTTGAGAACTCCCTCACGTTGTGCACCGGTTTTCCTAAAACTTGGAGTCATTGTTGTGTTCTAAAATTGTCGATAAAATCATAATATTGATCTTCTTTCATATCATAGTTGAGTTCAGACATTTTCTTGGTCTTTTTGACATAGTTACTTTCCCTAGCTCTGATTTTATTTCCGAATGGATAGGACAGGTCCTTTCCATCCCTTGAAGATTTAGAGTATAACTCAGTATCTAGAACGAATTAAGTAAGGTCGTACTGAGTTTCACCATCATGCTTTTATTGTTCTCCTCGACCTTATTTATGTCTGAGAATTTCCTTCTTATTTTTGTCTAAAGTTCAGGTAAATATCTTACACCAGTTGACAACATTATTAGGGTTCATCTTAGTGATATTGGTCATTCCTTCAGCATCATGATACTCATGTTCAGAGAGAGCGCTTTCATCATGTCTCCTGCTTTGGTACCCACTCACAGGCCTGAGTTTGATATCAACTTTTGGGCTGCTAATCTCCATGTTGGACTGGTTCCCAGCATCTTTCTTGGAATCCCTTGACTTTGAATGATCATGAGGAAATTTCTCTGATAAGTCAATCGATTTTTTGGTGCTTCTTAAAGCATCATTGAGTTTTGAGTTTTCCAGAATTACATCTCCTTCAATTTCCTTAGTGATTGATTTCAGAGTATCTAGCTTGTAGACAGGGTTTTTAATCTGAAGACTTGGGTCTTTCTCAGGAGAGGAAATCTCGTCAGCACTATATTTATCGTCTACAAAGCCTTACTCAAGAGTAGACCTGCCCTTCTCAATAGGCTCTGCTTTTACCTCAACGATATCTTTATTAGTCTGGTGATCTATGTTGATTTCTTTATTGACTGTTGGCTCTGGCTCTTCAGTTAAGTGCATTTCTAGGAATTATTTGAACAAAATTTTACCAGCAACCATATTTTCATAATCCTTAATATTGACCGGCTTTGAAAGCTCCTTTGGTGCAACTTGAAGCTCCTTAGGATTCGGCCTCCTTTTCTTGATTTTAAACATTTGAAATTTATTGGTCATAGATTCCCTCATCGATCTTTTCCGGCTAGTTTGAGTTGTATGAGGTCGTGAATGACACTTGCGGTGACCCCCAACCCTCTCACCTCTTGTTCTGTCATGCTGTGAGATATAATCCATGATGGACTCTTTGTACTTCTTTCTACTATCAAATTTAGAGCAATAGCCTTGCTCTTGTCTCCATTTCTTACGGAATAGTTCTGAAGTATTTTGTTTTATTCATAGAAGGAATTAGGTTCTTGGAACAAACTTTCATATTCTTTCTTTGTCGGACCAATGGAAGACCCAAATTGCTTATTGCTTTGGACAATATTGACCAGGCCTCTCTGGTGCTTCATCAGTTCTTGGAGACTCATTTCCTTAAATACTTGCGAAGCTTTCCTGCCTTTCTTTAAGTAAGATTGGATGATCTTTGTGTGAGCCTGGGCGTTTCTGAGCGAACGGTTAGTAGAACAAGATTTTGTACGTGGCTTTATTGGATTTGTAGTTGAGTAATCCTCCTCACATGGACTCTTACCATCACCCTTATGTCTTCTTCCTGCTCTAAAATTACACTCTCTCTGATCCTTGACAGATTCTTCTGCTATTCCAAGGCCAGGCTTGCCTAATCGTGAAGAAGCAGCTGCTTCTGCCCTGTGTGAGCTGGGCAAAGAGTAGTGACACAAAGCGACTGACTGGAAGAACTCACTGTGGTGCTCGTCCATGACTCTTTTGTGCTGGATTTTGTAGATTTGTTCTGCATCGTTCTGAGCCAAGTCTTTATTTCAACTCTACTGATAGCCCAGAGGCAGGCTGGAGTAGAATTTTGGCAAGCTTGGCTTGGTCTTGAAGCCGTAAGCCGGTTTCGAAAATTCTTTGAGGGATAGAATGGAGCTGGGCGTGTAAATGAGAAGTGTTGGGAAGGATATTAGGGTCTTCTTGGCTGAAACTAGGATATTCAGAGGTGTTAATTGATTGGATATTTTCGAGGCTGATGTCTCTGGAGATATTTTTAGATGGAGATTTTGAGTTTTTGGAATTTTGTCTGAAATTGATTTTAGAGTGAGATTTAGTGGTTTTGGAGGTTTTTATATTGGTTGGAATTAGATTTTGGCCCTGAGAGATGTTTTGGCAGTCTATCATAGCATTTCTGATTTTATTTAGATATCTAAATTGTAATTTATTTCAAGTACTTTGTTGTTCATTTGGGGTTCAATGTGCAGACCCATGTCAATTGAATTAATTTTAGGTTTAAATTGATTTCTTCAGTCTATTTAATCTCTTAGTGGAATTGGCACTTTTGGGTGCCATCTTTTTCTTCTGGAGTTTTGTTAAAGCTCCTGTGACTTTGGACTTCAAATTTAATGAGCCTACATACGATCTTTGCCTATGATGGTTCATCATTCTATAAAATTTAAATATAACTATAAAATTAAATTTCTTTATTTCTTAATGGGGTTTTGGGGTTTTGGGGTTTTGGGGTTTTGGGG